CCCCCCCCCCCCCCCCGAGGCAGTCAGGCCCAACCAAGCCTCTCCTTTCCCCGTCCGCCACACTCACCACGCATTTCTTGCCCAGGAAGCCGAAGAGGCTCTCGTTCTCCTGCGGGGTGAGCAGCATGGAGCCCACGTTGGAGACCCTCCGCGGCGGCGGGGGCTGCTGCTGCTGCTGCTGCTGGTGGCTGTTGTTCATGGCGGCGGCCGCCGCCGGCGCCCGGCCGGGATTGCCAACCCCGCTCCGACGGCTTCGTCGCTGGTTCTAGCTCGCCCCGGGGTGTGTGGGGTGCGGGGGGTCCGTCAGGCCCCGCGTCTCCCGGAGGGTGGCGGCGGCGCAGCAGCCGGCCTCCCCCGCGCTATTGCAGCACCATCGGGGCGGCGACCTGAGGGGCGGGTGGGAAGCCGCGGCGGACCGAGGACCAACTCCTGAGGGGCGGAGAAGGGGGAAATCTTGCGGCCGGGACAGTCTCGCTCCTCGGGCCCCGCTCGGCGCGCCTTCCGACCCGACGGGCACTAAACTTCCAACTTCTCCCCGGCGCCGGCCGTGCAATCCAACATGGCAGGGAAGCAGCGGAGGCGCGGGCGAGACCAAACGCCGCGGAAGGAGAGGGGAGGACGGACGCGGGGGTCGAGAGGCGCCTCAGGCTTTGGCCCAAACCTGGGTCGCCGCTTCTCGAACCCCGCCGGGAACCAGCCCGCCACCTCCCCGGTTCGGACTCTTTTTCAACCGCCGGTCCGGGACTCTCTCTTCAACCCCCCCGCGGGCTCAAGCCTCAGCTCAAGTCCCAGAAGTCGCGCTTAACTGGGGCCTCTCCCCCCCCCCCGTTAAATACCGGGCGAGCTCAGGCCGGGCTGCTTTCCCGGCCTTGTCATCCAGGAAGTCTGGGAATTGGCGGGTGGCGGGAGGCGCGAAGCGGGGCTGTGCGTTCCTGTCACCTGCCCGCCCCTGGCTTTAAATTGCAGGGGTGTCCAACCTTGGCAACTTGAAGACTTGTGGACTTCAATTCCCAGAATTCCTCAGCCAGCTTTGCTGGCTGAGGAATTCTGGGAGTTGAAGTCCACGAAGTCTTCAAGTTG